ATTCTGTTTGTCTGCAGTGTTAGATTTTTACCTGGGAATTTCTCTCCTTCATTTCGGTGGTGAAAAAAACATAGCCTTAGAAACAAAGACACCAAGATATCAGAATTAATTTGTTTCTAAATGGGAAAAAAACCCGGCCTCGATTTAAAAAGCATGTCTCCGATTATTAACAGACTCACTTGCTAATAATGAGTGTTTCCTCTCCACCTATCCAGACTCTCATGAATTCACCATACATCTTGTTGTAGTAGTTGCAGGCACTGCCAATCCCCATCCACAGGATTCTGCCGTGGGAAATGAGGGGTCCAATTCCCATACAATAGCGAGGACCTAGGAAAGTCATCAGATCACAATCAGCATCTCAGCAACACCAAAAACAGCAACTGCTTTATGTTACTACTGTTTTTGTTCTTTTACATTTAAATGTTCTTTACAACTTCTGATATATCTGTGAGTCACTAATAAAGTGATTTAAAACAAGAGAAGCTTAACGTGAGGCTCTTCACCCCTCTGTGAGTAAAAAGTAGTTCAGTATCCACACTAGTACTATTCCGTTTGGTCTCAATCATTTCAGTCTGAATAAACTGGGGTATGTGTGCTAATTTCTTCCCACATTAAATAGCGTCAGTGAGTTTCAAATACAAGTCAATTGATCTGTCTGGTAACAAGCCTAGAAACCATGACAAGTGCCAAGCTGACAGATCTGTTTGGCTCCCTGGTTTTGTCTGAAAACTTTTGGTTTGAATGCTTCAGTTGACAGAATTCGGAGGATTAGACCTGGGTGGCAGTTTTAAAGTAGTTCTTTTAACTGAGAGAAACAAGGCCTGCAAAGATAATGTCCAATCTAAGAACATTCATTTCTTAAAAAGGACTCAGTTTAAGAAAAGAAATCTTAAGCTAAATTTGACTAGGCAAAATAAAGCTAACAATTGAGAAATTAAGCACTGAGTCTACTCAGTGTCTAGACTAGAGTTTGAGTCCTGTGATCTAGGTTTAGTCGAGAGCAGTGACCAGTTGCGTCCTTGCTTATGTAGACTGGCAGAATTGTCAAAAACATAAATCCAGGGGAAAACTGGGGAATTTAATGTTGCTTATATCAGAGAACAAACTTGGTAGCTTGATTGTATTAGTGGTGGTAAAAAGTCAGATAAAAATTTTTTGGAATGGTTTTAGGAATTAAATTGTAAAGTAGTAGTTTTTCTAAATCTTTCTCCTTTAATACCATTCTGTCAATGAAATAGTTATGAAGCCAAAGCATGCCTAACTGTATAAGGCAGAATGTTCACCCCATGGGCAAGAGCTGTGAAATAATCCAGAGAGTCTAAGATTTTGCTTGAATCGTCTGAATTTGATGTTTTTTCCCAAATGCAGCATACAATTTTAGTCTTTTACTTTGCCATAGCTGACTTAATATGAACAAGACTGTCAGCTCTTTTTTCTTTACAGAGATGATTTTTGTTAATATCTATAGAACCAAAATATTGTTAGTGTTTTTAATCTTATGCTTATTTTAATAAGACTATCTTATATAGATGACTGACTTTATATTAAAATAATCCCATTCTGTTCATAAAAAGATTTAAACAAGCAGAATTGACTAAATATGTACTTCCTAACAATGTCATCAGGTAAAGCAACCTTTAATCAATTAAAATGAGCATGATAATAAAATACTTTGCTGGACAGTTATAGTTTGACATATTGTAGATGCTGAATAAATGTTTCCTGAATACATTTTAAAAATTAATTAGGTATGTACATGTAATATAAAGGATAAAGTTTTAAATGCCATTCTTGTTTAGGGTAGTTTAGGTTGTATTTACATTTTGATTAAAAAATAGAAAAATGTCATATAACATACATTTAGTCTCCATGAGGCAAAACATCTAGTTATTTGCAAATAGACTATTCAACAAACATTTACTTACCTAATATGCCAGGCCCAAGAGAAACAAAGACATACAAATTAAAAACTGTACTTTTCATCTTTTATCTAAAAGTTTGTTGCCATATAGGAAATCTTAATATTTGGGAATCACCACACAAATTTAGGATATGACCATGGAGATTTGTATCTATTGAAAAAGGGCGAATGTGATAAAGCCTGTGCTTAGGTTGAGAACCTGAGTGTTCTAACCAGAAGAGAACCAGAGTTTTGGGTCTTTAGTGATCAATTGTATGTCAGCTTAATTCACCCAACAAACACTTACTGAGACCCTATTAGGTACAGACTCTAGCTCCAAGTTAGGAACTGGATATGTTATGATAAGCATAATGGTCCTCATCAGAGTCCCAGGGCGGGAGAGAGAGTATGTGAAAAATAGTTACAAAATCAAATAATTATAACACAATGTGATCCTTTCATTTACATGTGTATCTTATGCCCCCTTCTCCCCAGCTGGAAAGAAGAATGCCCTAGGAGGGTAGAAAGTTTGGTAAAATATTAGGGAAATCTTCTGATTGCATTCACACGAAACTGCTCTCTGCTGCTGCTTAGATGTGAGAACACTTATCTAGGCATGCAGTGATTGCAGGAGCTTCTTTCACACCCTCAAAGGAGCAGTAAATACTTCACTGCATTTTTGTGTGGAGACAGCTTCCTGGAAGCCAACAGCTGGGACCTCTCACCAGCTGTCCTGATCAAGAAGTGGTTGCATTCCACACCTAGGTTTATACCCTAGAGAAACCAGCACACACATGTTCACAGCAGCACTGTTCACAAGAGCCCCAAATGAGAGACGCCCAAATGTGCAGCAGCAGTAGAACTGGTGATAAAACCATGAGTATTCATTTAAGTCAATACCATATGGCCTGAAAATGAGGAAGAGGAGGAAAAGGCATGCTACCTGCCCCTGAACTGGTGATAAAACCATGAGTATTCATTTAATTAAGTCAATACCATATGGCCTGAAAATGAGGAAGAGGAGGAAAAGGCATGCTACCTGCCCCTCCTCACACACACACACCTGTAATTCATTGACCTTGACCTAGGAGCCCATGAGGGGGAGGAGAAACCCAGTGAGGAAGGGGCAGTATTGGGGAAGAGAGTTCAGGTTAAAGAACGTGGAAGTCATCCCCCGGCTCTGAGCCTTCCTCCTCAGGAGATGACTCTGTCAGGGAGCAGAGAAAAAAAATTAACTAAATGTTCCATTAAATTGGGCATTAATGTAACCTGAAATATCAGGCTGAATCAGACAGAGAGATGGGCAATTATCCAGAAAATTTTAAGAAGAATCCAGACACAGGGCAATTTGTACCAGAACCACGCTCTGACTCAGAATCACACTGAGACAAGGCCCTCCACAGCTAGAGGTGCATGATAGCTGTGCTCTAGAAATAAAGCCTCCTCTGATAGCTTGTGAAATTGGGAGTGGGTGTCTGTCATGAGGAATTTTCACTGAAAGCTAAGGAAACAGTCTGAAATTTCTGATAAATTCTGAGTTAATCTCATATCTGATCATTCTAGCATTGGTGGTGAAATGGTAGGGTTTTCTATTGGAATTATCTGGATAATTATATTCCTCTCTACTTTTGACTGAGCCACAGACCTTGCTGAAGATTCTATCAGTGTGTGATGTTCCAAGGGAACCATAGTTGTCCCCGCTCTTCTCTTGTTGCCAGGTCCCATTCAACCCTTATGGTGGTACCACATCACTACACCACCAAGAATACGATAAAATCAAAAGAGGGACAGAGAGAAGGGATAAGTAAAGGAAGGAAGAGGGTGTGGAAGAGGCCCAATGGGAGGGAGATGGAAAGGTGTTTAGAAGGCATTCCAGAGACATCTTCAGAGCAAAACTGGAATGAATTTGAATCTATTTTTAAAATTAACAGCAACAACAACAAAAACCCTGGAATTTTACCTTGCCCCATCCCATGTCAGGCTTGTTTTAATGGGAATTAGTGCCAAGTCTAATTTACCAAAGCAGAGGGCAGACTGGAAGGGATTTTCTAAGAAATTTTAAAAAATATTTTCATTTAAAATGTGCAGATAATTGTTATAAAGATTTTCATCTAAATTCTCATTTGCTAACATGGCTGCAGTCTTCAGAGATCTTCCCAGGTTTGCTTTATGTCCTTTAGCAAAATTTTCTTTACTGACATGGACCAAAAGCCCAAGTAAACAATCTCCTTAGATACAGAAATAAATGACTGACTTACCTGGTATTAAGGATGTGCCCTCATAATTCCAAATCAAGAGAAGAAGACCAGTGAGCAGCAGGACTGGCATGATGGTGACAGGCATGACTTCAGGCACCATGCTGGTGATGTTATAACTCACTGGGCTCAACAGTTCCAAAACCATCTTGTGCTCCTTGACCTCAGAGGGAACAATGTAAAGTCCTGTGGAAATCAAAGGGGCAGAAAAATTAGAGAATCCCCAGGAAGGATCCTCTAATGACTCCTGTTGCTTCAGAGGATGCTGTAGTGTAGAGATCAGCGCTTTGTTTTATAATGTGATTGGACATTTAGGCAAGACAAATTCATGGTTATACGTCAAAACAAGCAAGCCCAAGAGAGATCTTTTGGCTTGAAGTGCAGCATTTCTGACCTTGGTAGAGTCTCAGGTTCGTTTAGACACTTGGTCTGATAGAACCTTATCATCTTGCCCTTGAGTGGGTAGAGTGACGTGCATTCCCAATTGAGAGACAATTTTCTTACCAAAATATGGGAAAATGTAGCTCATTCCAGAGGTAGAATCATTTCGTGACTTCATCAGCAGATTTTGTTTAGGAAATCTTCTTCCCTTGAAGCCAAATCAATTAAAAAAATAAAACAAAACAAAAACAAGCAATCCCCCAACCTCTTCCTTGAAGATAATTACTTCCCCCATGTAGTGAGTTTCTACAGCAAGGATGAGTTTCTTGGGCACCCTTGAGGTATTCTCAGAGCCTCCCACTAGATAGTCTATTGAATTCAAAGTGACTAACTCAGTAGAGTTTTTAATCTAGTGGCTTTAATAAAGATCTAAGATCTCCTGCACCACAGGCTGGATTAAGCAGTGTCCACAGGGCTCATGTCAGTGGGAGTGGTAAAAAAGGAGAGAGGGAGAAGAAAGAGAGAGGAGAAGAAAGGGAATGAGGAGGGAGGGAGGAAGAGAGGACAGGCAGCGCAGGGTGCCACCAGCAATAGCTCAGGTGCCACACAGCAACCTCATCCCAGCAGCACTAATTTCCTGTGCAAGATGATCCATCTTCAGTTTGATCTGTTGGTTCTGCTGTGTTTCTCAACAATGTGCTTTTGAATCTATCTTTTCAGCCAGGTTTTGTAATACCTTTACTCTCAGAAGAGAGTTGGTAGTTTGCCACTAAAGGGGCTTAGGATAAATAAACCTGTAGAGTGAGGAAAGAGTCACCATTAAATGCATTTTCCAGTGGCAGATGACATGCACCAAGGTTTGCCTTTTCTTAGAAAGAAGAAGTTTGGGGCACTTGCAATGGCTCTGAAACAGACTTTGGTTGGGTTTTACCTAGTAGTAAAATTCTAGATTCACAGTCAGGACTTCTAATTGGATTTCAGAGGTTCTATGAATTCCTTGAAATGCTGCTTTAAATGTTTCTGCTCATGCGCACTTGTGAGGAGAGGCCATAACTTTCATTAGACTCCCAAGGAGTGCATAATTATATTTCTCCCCTCATCTATACGAGCTCTTAAACTTTCAAGCAAAGACCGACTTCTGGAAACTACAGAAATTTCACAATATAGTTGAATTCATTCAGTTGCTTCATCATTTTGCTGATTCTTTCTATTATTCCACCATTTAAATAGTCATTAATACTCAAGTGCAAGGCACCAAAAATGCCTGGACATATGCTGGGAGGTATTATTGTTGTGATTTAATGCACATAAGTGGAGACCGAAAAGTCAGCATAGTGTCTACTATCACCCAGTTCTTTTGTTAATGAGTGGCTACTTTTAACAGGTTGAGTCTTTTTTAAGTTTTTAATTTCCCGAACAGGAAGTTGGCCTCATTCTGAGTAAGCTCTATGTGACTTTCTGATAGCCAGGGCCCTTGAAGTTTCTATTTATATCAATGACACCTGAAACCAATGTTAGAAGTATAAACGAGGAAAGTGGTTGAGACAAAAAGGAGGAAGGTGTCCCGGAGGAAGTGATGCCAGCAAAAAATTTCACAGTAAAGGAGCTCTCAGTGATATCTCACAACATTGACAGCACAATTATACAATAAGTAAGCTGATGCAAACTTATAAAGGAGTACAAGAAAAATGCTCCTTCAGTATCATGAAAAAAAACAAGGCCAGAGCTGTTCAAATACTCTTTAAGTTTTAAGTCTTTCTTTTACAAAAGAAAACAAAAAACACTTTAAAATTTGCACTGTTTCTAATGTTTTAAGTTACCGTGTACTAAAATATTTGTTTTACTATTTTTTTAAAAATTTCCTTATATACTTACAACCTACAGTAAGAGAGTTTTTTATGTTTTGACAAAAAATGTTAAAGGCCATGGAATAATCATAATTTTTCTATTGGTTAAGATTGCTTTGCATGGGCTTGGGAGTGCGGCGGCCGCTCCCGCCGAGGGTTCGGATCCCATGTGGAAACCGATTCCCGCTCACTGGCTGAGCGCGGTGTGGGCGCAACACCGAGGGTTGCGATCCCATTGCCGGTCCCCGGTACAGTTGCGACACCAAGGGTTGCGATCCCGTTACCGGTCAGTAAAAAAGACAAAAAGGAAAAAAAAAAAAGATTGCTTTGCACAGTTTCGGTGTGCATGATCATGTTTACAGTCCTGCACTTCCATGCAAAGTGAATGAAGACTGTATGTCTAAATGTCTAACAGGGCTAAGAAGCCTGGTTCCCCATCTTTCTCAAAAGTATGCCATAAAGACCCCCCACAAGAGCACCATTTTAAAGACCCAACAGGATAAGCATTTTTTTTAACACTTAGAAAACATTTGCTATATGTCAGACATTGTTCTAAGCACGCTACAAATATTAAGCCATTCCTCCTCATGACAACCCTGTGAGCTGAGTATGATTATCCCCATTTTACAGATGGGGAAACAGAGGTGTGGGGAGGTTAAGTAGCTTGCCCCAGGGCACCAAGCTTGTGTGTGGCAGAGCTGGGATTGGAGCCCAGGTAGTTTGTCTCCACAGCCCACGCTCTTAATCCTGCCATTCTGCTCCCTATATGGGATTCATTTGGTCCCTACATTCAGGGACTTTTCAATCATTTATGTTCATTCCTGGGCTGTTTAGAATGATTCCCATTAAAGGATTAAGCTTTATGGATCTCCGAATGCCACAGCTGGAAAGGTCCTTTGAGTTCTCTCCTCATTGCACATTGGTTTTCCTGTTCAGTAGAACATTCTTATGGGCCACACAGGCAGGAATATAGAAAGGTCTTAGAACTTCATAGAAGTTGCTTATATGTCTCCTCTGCCAGTAATACTGCCCCCTTCCCCTCAAACATGCATACACACACACACACACACACACACACACACACACACACGGCCCTCAAGTGCTACATGCCTTCAATGGTCATCTCAAATGCCTGGATCGCCACTGCACTCTGGAGGTCATCTCCTCAAGTCCTGCCATTGTTATTTGTAGGGTGGTCTCTGCTCTCTCAGGCATCCCATGCTGGGCCTGGCACCAAGCAGGGGCTCTGACCACCTGATATACCATGCCTGTGCTCCCGTGCTGTGTGGAGCCCCAGGTGTCCTGACTAACAACTTCACGTACTGCCCCGCTAACCTCAGGGTAAGAAGATGCCAGTCCTATACCCAAAGTCCTCAGCCCGAGTCAAGCAAAGGCCTGCAGGGTCACAGCAGAGCCTAAGTGTCCTGATGACCTTGGGATCAGGAACAGGGCCAGGAGGGACTCCCAGATGTCCTGGTACAGTCCTGACCTTCTGCAGGGAAGGGAGGCAGGCCCTGGCTTTGCAGAAGTGCTGCCCAGACTGGCCAGACTCTACTAAATCCTACCTTAGCATGAGGTGACTGTCCAGCAGGGAGACAGACCCAGCCATCCTGGGGCCAGCGGCTAGGGTCCAAACCTGCCTCCTTCTCATTCTCTGCAGCCCAACGGTACATCCCTCTTTCACACGCCTAACCCTGGAGAAATACAACCCAGCCATGTTGATTCTCCCTGCTGCACCCTCTGCTTTGAGTCCCCATAGGCGGCTGACTCCTAGGGCTGCCACTAGAAGCAAGACAGACATGACCTGGGTCCCCAGGGACTGCCAGTGTTTTAGAAAGGGAGGCATAGAGCCTTAGTGAAAGGTTCTGCGAGTGAGTGAGAACGTGGCATTGGAGCCATTTGGCCATTCTCCTTCTTGTGTCTGTTCTCCTGTGGCTGCTGGTGACAGTCTTCTCCTCCCCCCGCCCCTTGTTCCTTCTTATTCCTCCACACATGTTCTTAGCCCTCCTTCAGCATCCAGTCGGGGGCAGGGAGGTTTGCAGCTGGAGGCTGCAGAGATCTCCATCCCAGGGCCCGGGGCCGGGGCTGAGCATCATGATAATAAGCAGAAAGAAGGATCAGCCAGGAACAGAGGGAAGGCTGGTGAGCTGGGGCTCAGAGAGCAGGGGCCAGTGTGGGGGGCACTGGGCCTGGAGACAGTGGGAGAGGACACCTGCGTAAAGCCTTGTAGGCTGTGGTAAAGGTGTTGGAATTTATCCTAAGAGCAATGAGAAGCCATTGTCATTGAAGGACTTTAAGGGGATTTGAATTGACCCAACTGGGTCATGACTTAAATCCAAAGATACAGGGGGAAAAGAATGTGTTAAATCTGACTCCTAAGTTTCCAGACTATGCACCTGGAAGGACGGTGGTGTCAATCTCTGAGCTAGGATCACTTTTGAGGTGTGGGAAGCTCGTTTACGTTTTAGAAATCTTGAGAATCCAAGTGGCGATGTCTATCAGGGCACTGGATTACAACCTGTAACTCAGCAGGGAGGTCTGAGCAAAAGGCAGTCATTGACATGTGGGCAGATGTGAAGTCCTGGGCGATGGGAGACATCACTCAAGGAGACTGCATAGCATGAGAAGGGTGTCTTGAGGGATACCAAAATTTAATGACAGTGGAGAGGAGGATAAACTTGAGAAGAAAAGATAAGTTTACAGAGAAGGCAGAGGAGGAGTGGCCCAAGGGGTGGCAGGAGACCAGAAGAAGCAGATTGTGGCTAAGTGCCAGCATCTTTGACTAACAAGGAGGCATGGCTGCGATGTTACAATAACGACTAAGAGACAGAGGAAGGTGGAAGGTGGAGTGTGTCCAAAAGGCATGAACCTCCAAAAAGATATGTAATTTTTGAGATTACAACAGCTATTATCACTGTTTTACAAGAGGGATAAACAACATGGATATAGTGTCATGGTCCCTTGAAGAGGGCAGACAAGACTTGTTGGCTACAGCACTAGACTCACTGTCACCTGGAGTGTTCTGTGAGCTGCTACGCGTGCATCATCACGACTGCCTTGGGGAATGTGTGCCACGCTATACCTCCATTCTACACAGCCTCAAAGAGCCTCAAAGAGCCAAAGCAAGTGTGGACGGGGAGTCGAACACCAACCTGTCTGACTTGAAAGTGTGTACTCTTAGCCCAGCTACCTCTTCTGCCTCCTCTCACTGCACACCTGTTTCCTTTCCTGGCTTCTGCGATGCCAGCCTCTCTGTTCTCCTTCTACACCTCCACCCCTTCCTCTCTTCTTGGCAACTTAGCTTCTTTTTCTTCCAAACGAACCCCCCATGCTCCCTGCTTCTGCTTCCCTCCTACCCATTTCCTCTTATCTCCTGGCTTCTGCCCCACCAGTCCCTCAGAGATGACATATGACCTTTCTACTGCCCAGTCTGTACCTTTCCCCCTCTATCTTTGTTCTCGATCTCAGTCCATGGCATTGGAGCCGTTTGGCTGTCCTCCTCCTTGTGTGTCTCCTCCTACGGCTGCTGGTGACAGGCTTCTCCATTTCCCCCTTGTCCCTTCCTATCCCTCCGCACCTGTCCTTAGTCCTCCTTCAGCATGAGCTTGTCCCCAGCCCAAGTGCTTGCTCTCTATGCTTTGGACTCCTTTTGAGAACTCCTCATGGCTTCTCCTGTCTTCAGCTCTCACCTCGGCATGGGTCCTCCCCTCTTCCCTTCCTGGCTTGTCCTCTCCCTCTCTGAAGCCTCAGCTGCCTATGGGACACCATCACTCAGGTATTTCATCATTACTCCACAGTTAGGTCTAAAACTCAATCTGTCACTTCCTTCTAACCTCCTCCCATCACCCCGACCTTCTTACATAGCATTAACCCAGTCATGCAACTTCAAAATCTTGGTGTTTTTCACTTCCCCCTTCCCCTTACTTTTCTACCCATATCCCTCCCTACCTAAGCCTAACCATGTCCTATCACAAAGTTCTAGGGCTATTCCCTAAAAATGTCTCATTCCTGTCTCAAGGTACTTCCCTGAATTTCCTTTACCTTCTGGCCCATGTCTTAATTTTCATAATGTACCTTAACCCAGTCCTCTATCTACTCTGTCATGATCAAAGCATATTCTCAGTGGTCAGTTGACAAATTCATACCTTCCTTCTTGACCCTTGCCAGAAATCACCCCACCTTGAACTCTCTAATTTCCGATTGTTTTCAAAAGCCTCTGTTGTAGAAAATCTATCAGGGATCCCTGGTGGACCCCCAATCCTCTCTTGGCAGTCCCAAGCTCTAATGACTTCAACGGCGACACAGGTGACATGAATGCAGACGGCAATGGACTGGCTGTAGCCTATTACAGAGCACAGCCCTCCTTGCCAAGTATGTGGCGTGATGCCAGACAGAACATCTCTGCATGAGCCCGTTGGAGATTCCAGCCTATTTGCAGCCTTTAGTCAGGATCTGAATCAAATGCCATGACCTTCAAGAAACTGTATGCTGGGACCTAGTCATTTGTGTCATTTTTGTAACTGCCTTTGTTTAGTCATGCTTGGTGCCAAGCCATAGGCTGAGTCTAAGTGACATAATAAGATCAGCCATATGAAACCCACTGTTTTATCTAAAGAAAGGATGTTGTTAAGGACAATAGACAAAATCATTTATATTTATCCTTCTGAGTTGGATGTATTTTTGTAAGTTTCTTCAAACTCCTTATAGAATAAAGTGGGACATTGATTCATTGAAAGTCATATCCCTCCTCCTGTTTCTTTTCCTTCTAGAAGGGAGTTCCCCAAGGACAGGGACCTGTGTCTCTCCTGCACAACTGTATCCCACTTCTAGAACCGTGTCCAGGTCTTCACACATGCTCACTACAAACCCATCGCCTGAGTCTGCACCGTTTCCACCTTTGTGCAGCTTTTCTTCTCGTGGTAACCTCTCAGGAGCCCCACCTCTCAGACCTTCCCTTTCTCTCTGCCCTGCACACTGCTGCCAGATTGTTTTCAACTCAGTTTTCATCACATCAATCCTCTCCTAAAAACCCTTCTTTGCTTCTGGTTGGCTGCATGGCTTCCAACGTCATCCTCATCCAGCATTATTTCTCTACGCAGAGACTTACTCCTCATTGACCCACAGACATCCTGCCTGATGGCTTCTTACCTCCACATCTCCCTGCTCACCCAGTTCCCCCACCAACCTCCCAGGGGAGATCTGTTTCCTCCTCTCTTTTTCTGAGCCATCTCTCACCTGGTGTAAATACCCGTCCTCCTTTTCTCTTTGACGTGGGCACTGGGATACTTTGACTACCAAGAGCCTGTATAAATCAGAGTCTTGGAGGGTGTCATTAAACAAACATTTATTAAGGACCTTGTCTGAGCAAGGTGCTACATTCGGTTCTGTTTCTAGACAGGGGAGGCAGTAAGGCAAGCAAGCAGAAGGTGCCATAAGCCAGGACATCTCAAGGAACCACAGTTCTCTAGAATGACAGGTGGAGCTGCCCGTGAACTTCTACATCGAAGAAACAGGTATCAGAGCTGGAAAGAAACACCGAGATCTTCTAATTACGCAGTTCTCTTCTTTTAAAAGTGAACCAGCTATATGAGATCTAGAGAAGAAAGGTCACTTGTCAATGGTCACTTAAAAGCAGGCAAGGTTTACCCATGTACACATTCTGCAATCTGCTTTCCATATGTTGGCATTGGGGTCATGACACTGGAGGTTCTGGTTGTTCTTCCCAGAAAGCTTCCAAGTGATTCCCTGGGAATGCCTTGTTCTAGAACAGGAAAGAGACAATAGGAAGCAACAAGAGAAACCCAGATGGATAAATGTGTGCTTGGCCTGCACTGCCTTCAGGGCAACTGTCTTGTCTACCCTGCACTTCCAGTCCCTGGTGCAGTCCTGACTAATCATAAGCGTGGAATGAGTGAAAAGCCCAGGAGGTAGCACTGAGCGACCTCAGCCCCTAAGGTTTCAGCCACGTACGGAAGACTCTTGCCAGTGCATGAAAGGCATATGGTGCCGAAACCCACATTACACATGAGTGTGCAGGCCCAGAGCTCACGGGAGTCCATCAGGCAGGGCTGGGGCTTCCTTGCTCGTCTGTGAGGTCCCATGGCTTCTAGCACAATACCTGGCACAGGAGGTGCTCAATGCATGTCCAGGAAATGCTCTTTTCTTGCAATAGCTTGCTGGCCAACCACCAGCAGGCCTGGGGCAGGGGGCAGGTTTCCACAGCACCTCTTCCCAAGCTTTCATCCTTGCCCCTCTGATGGTGCCTCTTGTCCCTCACTGTCTAATCTGTTTTCTTCCCAATGGGCTGTCTGCGACATAGTCTCTAGGGAGAGTTTGTTTTGAAACAGTCAGCAGTGACTGCCTTAAAAGCCTAGACCTTGATCGATAAAGGCATTTCAGGCCATGAGACAAAGTGTGTGGAATATTTTAGGACCAGAAGCCCACCACGGGCCCTCAGATCCTATGGTATCGGGGTTTCCTGACAGCCAAACCATAGTTTTTCTCACTAGCAGTCTGACCTTGTCTTATGGAGGAGGCAGAAAGGGCCAGGCTGGGGATCACTCTGGCAGCAGCAGTTGTTTCTCTAAGATGTTCCCCACCACTGCACATTTCAATTCAATTATATAAGACCTGGCATGTTGCCTGGCCCCAGAGGGGATAAGGTAGTGGAATTTTTCAGCCAAATGTGGGCTCTTAACTTGAGGAGGGAAAGCATCACAAGAGCAGGATTTGGAGTCAGAGGACCTGAGTTCAAGTCTCAGCTCTGTGGCCAACCAGCTCTGTGACCTCATTCACTTCCCAAGGCTGCCTGAGCCCTGGCTGAGGAAGTGAGTTCTCTCCACCTCAGCATGCTGAGGGAAGGGTTAAAGTGAGACCTCCAGAGCCCATCACCAGTGCTGTTGCTTGTCATTCCTCTGTGGCACATGGAGTGTGTGGTTCCATGACTCTTGTTAGCAACAACAGAAGGTCCCCAAGTGGATACACAATCCTGAGGGCATCCCAGATGCCAGCAGCCAGAAAGGCCACTGAACCTCTTTCTGAGGCAAGATCCAGAGCCATACCTCAGTCTTGTTATCCAAGATTTACCACACTCGGGTCCCGGGTGGCCTTGCTTCTGCTTATCTAGCTGGATATGATAAACTCTCGTAAGGGCAGAAATGACCGCCCACCCCTCCCCTGCACCATTCAGAACAGCCAGTTGCCTCTGCAGGGAGATGTCTTCCACCATTACCACAGCACCATTCCTCCAGGCAAGGACTCACCTCATGCTCCTCTCTGTAGCCCCATGGAGGCTGCCATGAGTGCCTTGAACCGAGTGTGTGCTCAGTAAGTGTTGAAGTGAATGAATGAACGGAACGGTTGGCATCTTAAGTTTTTTAGGCCTGGGTTCATCAAATAATGATACATTCACATCTCCCCAGAGGAATGTTTTCTTTACCCTATCTGTGATTCCAAATGCCAAGTTTCAGCAACATAGTAGCCCGTAGTCACCACCCAAACAGTCAGATAATGGCAGCATTGCTGGCCTTTCCTTGTGAGCTTATCTATTGTTTAATGAACAAACTGTGAGGCCACAGAGATGTCCTAGAGCAGGGCCACTGTCTGGCAAGGGAGCCACCGGCTGACCCCAAAGTGTTGGGGTTACTTAACCTCTCTGGACCTCCCTTGCCTTATCTATAAAACAAGGGGGTTGGGCCACGTGACCCCTTTAGGGCAGTATCCGATGCCCAACATTCTTCCCCTTTGTCTTAGCTGCTGCCTACTCTGCCCTCCCCAGTGCCTCCGCCTTCTTCCTCTTCCTTAGCTCTTTTCTTCTGCATTGCTTACGCCAGCCAGAGGTGCCCGTGGGGAGCAGATGGCAGCCTTGACCACCTTCTAGCTGTCCTCGTTCTCTTTAGAGCCCCAGCCCCGTTCTGAGAATCTAGTGAAAGCTGTGGAATCTCACTTTGGAGAATCACACACAGGAATCAATCTGCAATGCTTTGAATACAATTTTGGTTTCCTGGGCCCCCTGAGGCCAACCCACAGGACTCATAGCTGCTGGATTCAGTTCCTTTCTCCACCTTCTGCCTCAGGGGTCCAATGTCCCAGAGGCCCTTTCCAGATCAAAACCACCTTCACTGACTAGTCGAGCATTGTTTCCAGGTTGTAATCAAATGAAATTCTCTTGGAGATTTTCCATTTTAACTGGATACCAAGTCTACAGGTGAAGGCTTGATGATAAGGTGGTAGATCCTTCAACCTATGGAACCAGTGAGAAAGATTTAAGGGGAGAATGAAGGACATGTCAGAGCCCATCTGTGGCCCACCTCAGACTGACACTGTCCATGGCTGCCATGGGCTCTAGCCCCGCCATAGGCATCAAGGCTCATAGGATCTCTGGGCTTCTGCCCTGGAGGGTCCCATCTCCTGCAGTGCACATGCATGTGCAGGCTACTGTCTTCACTCCAAACATTCAATTAACCTGCGATGTCCCAGCCACTGTTCTAGGCTCTAGGAATATAGCAAACTGAGGTCCCTGCTCTTGAGGAGTTAATTTGGGCAAGACAGAGCCACCCATATTACTATAAGTGCAAGAGTGATCGACCAGAGAGGCATAGACAACCGTGGGAAGAGAGGAGAAAGCAACTATGCTGGGAAGGGCAGGTACGGCTTCGTGAGCAGGACTTGAACAAGGAGCATTAGTCTGCAAGACATCAAGCTATGGGAAGGCCATTGCAGGTTGAGAGAATGAGAAAAAAATGAACAGGAAACTCAGAGCTGCTCCTGTTCCCTCCCTGTGCCATTTGCTTTCCTGGGTTCTGGTGGACCCTCTACCCTGCGTTCACTGCTGCTACTCTGCCTCAGTTTCTTCATCAGAAAAATGGGGGAAATAATAGTGTTTCTTGATATGGTTCATTATGAAGACAAAATGAGATTAAGCATGTTAGATGCTTTCTAGAGTGTCTAGCACATAGCATAAGTTTAATAAAAGTTATTTTTAGTTTTTGGTCTTCAACGAGAGCATAGGGAGTAATGGACAGTCCTGGGAATAGCTAGAAGGAACAAAGTCTCTGTACTAGAGTGGTGCTCTTGGGGTCACTAAAGAGCTGTGTGCTTTGGGGCAGGTCACCATGTCTCTCTTGGGTACCCAGAGAGGTCTGGGCAGAGGGGTAGTCTCTAAGGTCCCTCGGGTCTATAGTTCTGTGATTCTATGACCCTCTTGTCACCAATATATTGGGATTCATGTGAGAGACACGGAGGTGGCCCAAACAGAATTTCGGAACAGCTGACACTTGCCTCCAGTGCCCCTCCTCACCCACATTTCTTTTTCCGTGTCATTTCCCCACATTTTCGATCCATCCACTTTCCTCCCCCGAGTCAGAGGAAATTGTCTCAGCAAAATAGTTAGTCTCCAGGGACCGATCCTTCAACTCATTCTCCCTCCTGGGGATATTTTCATTTTAGTGGGTGCCCAAAGTGTCCTCAGAAGAGCACAACAGAAATGTCTGACACTCTCTTGGCTCTAGGACAGCCTGTGAGCCAGTGAGACAAACTAATAAGCATGACACCGGTGACAAGTACACAGAGATATTAGCACAGAGATGTGGTCAAAGGAGCTTTCGCATGAAAGGTGGGATTTGTTCTTGGCCTTGAAATGTGGCTGGGATGTTGATGGTGGGCAGAGCAGAGGGTTTTGCAAATCCGTGGAGGTAGGAATGCATACACAAGCTAAGACTGAAGGAGCTGGATTCAGGCTGGGGAGTATCAACACCTACAGTGGAGCTGAAGTGGGGTACGGATGACGGGGCAGGAGGCAGGAGAGGCACAGCTCTCTTAGTTGACCCCTGGCTTCTAAGTCGTTCATGCATTCCTATGCAGGGCTACGTGGAAACTGGTGGAAATTTTGAGAAAACGGAGCAAACATTACTAGTTAAACTGCCTGTGGGTGCTAACAGTAGAGGCAGGCATCTGCAGAACTAATTTATGAGCCTTGCAAACACTTTAAAAATTTTCACCTAATTTAACTTGCATCAATTTGTCAACAAGAACTGAGTGTGATTATCCATCTTTTCTACCATACTTGGTTTCAAATGACCTTTTTACTGCTTTCCAAATCAAGTCTCTCTTCAGTGCGTGAAGAATTAGC